AAGCACATGACTGGAAAAACTTATACCAAAAGAGATGGTGACGACTACATCACAAAGAAGAATATTCATCGAGGGGCGAGTAATCTACCATCTTCCTAAGCCTACTGTCTCTTAGAAACGACATCGTGTACACTGTGCTTCTCCTTTCAAACATATATAGAATCTAGAATTACAACCGCGGGACGATTTAATAAGATATTAAACTTATATCTAAAATAAAATTGAGATATATATATATATATATATAACAAAATAAAATATGTTATACAGACAAAATAAAATAAATATCTATAAAGAGATAAATATGAAATGGAAACTGAATTTGTATATAAACATATTTAGTTTTTTAATAAAATTAATATGTAAAAAACAGTATTCCTGTATGTATATGCATATATATATATATATAATATATATACGTGTGTGTGTGTGTGCGTGTGTGTGTGTGCGTGCGCGTGTGTGTGCGTATGTGGGTTTTTTTATGCGTATATATGCGTCTGTATGTACGTACGTATTTCTTAATACTGGCATTTTTACAATATTAACTGAAAGCATATTTAAGATACTGTACCTATGAACAATTGCATAATTTGCTTCCTTATATTAAAGCCGAAGTACAATATATTTGTAGACCTCGTTATATATACTTTAGCAGTAACTATTGTCTGAAATTTCCTTGCTTGATATCTCTAAATCGTCCTGCGAAAAGACGAGATTTTGTAGTTCTATGTAGAAATCACTAATTATACATCTCATTATGGCTATCATTGTTATTACGATAATATATTTCCAAATTTGTTATTAGTATATAATCGTAGTTTATAATATAATTATAAATATATGTATTTATTATTTGTTTTTTAATATTTCTTATAAAAGTGTACACGACCAGTTTAACTTAGAGGAGTTACGTATAGTATGACATGAATAGCGTAATCCATAAAGTATATTTCAATATTTCAAGTAATCAATTAAATTATTTTAATAATGTATTTATCTCACATTATATTATATTTATTATCTTTATTTTACAACATAATAAAATAAACAGTAGTCAGAAAACGTCACACTAGTGGTGATGTCATAGTAATATGCCGAACGTCACTAGGTTTTTAAATATTAATATGTATATTTTATATTAATATTAACCTAGGGAGGTTATTAAGTTTATAGAGGCGTTTAGAAAATAGATTATTTTTATGTTTATTTTCCTTATGTAGAATAGTACATATATTAATAATGTAGATTTTTACGATGTATAATATACAGAATATATTTTATTCTTATGAGTATCCTGTTTGTAATTTTGATAAATTAATCCTATATAACTGTACTTGATACATTTAAAATACATTTAAATAAATAATTATATATATATATATATATATATATATATATATATATATATATATATATATATTCATATATGTGTGTGTACTGAAAAATAATTAGTGTACAAGTATATTTTGTTAATAATCAATAGAATTAGTAAAATATTTTTTTTTATATTTTATGATAAACATAATCAGATTAAGCCACTCAAATATTATAATGTAGCGCTAGTGAAATAATTAGATTAGAACATGAATATTATGACCTTAAACTTAACATGTAGTTTAGCATTATAACTAAATAATAATTATTTATTGTGTGTAATATTTTGTGTGTG